CTAACCTGGACCATGAAGCCTCTGTGATGGGATGGTCTGTGCGCATGGCGGGTCTGGAGCCTGCTCCACCCTTCCCCCAACAGCCTGCACTAGGCTTGTGACTATTGCTCAGGACCTCACACCTCCCTTCCTGTGTCCTCTTCCCATGTGTCAGGTGACAGATTCTGGGCAGGAGTTCATACACCAGCTTTCTGTGCATTCACTGTGTGTGGGAAGGAGGGGACAGAACTGCACCTTCCTTGTCCCCTCACCAGGGACTCGCTGAGGCTCACCATGCCATGCTCTACAGAGCTGGATCCACCTAACCCCCCAGCAGTCACATGAGAGTCTCCAAAGCTGGGGAAACTGAGGTAGTATTTTATCTGCTTAAACAGCGCCACCCAGCCGGTAAGCATTGAGCCTGGGCATTAGTCTGGGCAGCTGACTCCGAGACCGAATTTTCAACTAGGTGAACACTCCACAGAAGTCCGGGCATGTGTGCCTGTCCTGACAGCCTGCTATGCCAGTTCACAGGTCACTAGGAGGCATAGGTTTTCGTATAAGCAGCCTCCTTCACTGTGGAGGCCCTGTTTCAAAGTTCTCCCATGTAGGGTAGACTGAGGTAGGCCAGGGTTCAAGGGAGTGCTTGAAATTAGAGCCGCTTCCCCAAAGCAGGAGAGCTGTTTAGGATGGGTGCCATCCTGTGTCATGCACGTTTGCTGCACCAGGGTCCTGGGATGCACCTGTCCCTCTCCATCCCCGTCCATCCCCGGCACCTGGCTTCTGCCACTGCAGGCACCACCCTGCTGCTTCTGATGCTTGGCCCCTACTGGTTTTTCAGGGCTCGTCAGGCTGCTGAGCAGCAGCATGGCCTGTCTATGTTGCTCATCTTCCTTGTGGCCTGGCCTCCCACCAATAGGTCTCCACTCTATACCTGTGGCCCGCAGGGCTCTTTCTGTCTAGTATGCTGATTCACTAGTCAGCCACCAGTGCTATGGCATGTCCCCCCAGGCCTGTGCTGCTCGTGTATCAGGGTCTCAAGGCTGTCTGAGTGACTCCTACAGATGTGGCAGGCTCAGGGGGTTGCCGTCACTGAAAGGGAAGAAACCCAAGAGCCCAAAAGGACTAGCTCAGGGCCCAGAGCTGAGGGTGCATCCACGGAGTTCCAAGCCAGCAAGGGCAGCTGCCCACAGGGGTGCTCGGGCTAGTGCCAGACCTGTCTTGCCACCGCCGGAGGCCCTCTTCCATCAGGACCCACAGGTCTGCAAGTCAGACATCCTGGGGATTCCCTTCTGTCAGCCTTCTCCAACTGCTCTATACCTCCAGCCTGTGGCACACAGCCTGTCCTCACTCAGGTGGTCAGCCCATAACCCCACCAAAGAGCCTTCAAACCCAACGCAAGGGGAGCATGGTATGACCAGGAGGTGGCTGAGAGAGCTCCTAGAGTTGGAAATTGTCAGATCTAAGAAAGCATCTTCTTGAAATATAATTATTGAAGCGCAGAGGAGATCTTTCAAGAAAATGGCTTTTCTTTTACACGTAAGATTTGAAATGAATGTCTGTTGCCCAACTGAGGACACACAGGCCCTAGCTGGGGATGTAGGGAGAAAGAGGGCCTGGAAACCATGAAGTCCTCAGAAACTAAGATGGGGCACAGTACCCCACAAGGGCTCCATACCCTGGGGGACTCCTAGTGGACACTTGGACAAAACAGCCACCTGCATGTCCACTGGCCTCTCAAATTCAGTCCTCGGCCAGCACTAACTGGGTCTTCCCTACCTGTGGGAGGCAGCTATTGCACTGTGCCCTTTTGACAGGGTGGCCTCAGGTCACCCCTTGAGCCAGCAGAAGCCCGAATAGTAGTGCTGTGACACCAAGTGCACAAACGGATGCCTGTTGTGACCATGCGACTGTCCTTATGAACCTCAGCCTTCCTCTCCTCTAAAGGGTAGGGCTGCTGGGGCCCAAGAGGTGACCCCTCCAGACTGGAGAAGAAATGACCACAACTTTGTTCCCTCTAAAGACTTCCCACCACACAGCCAGCCTCATGCATGGGACATCAGCTCAGCTCTTAGGTTCCCTCAGGCTTTTGTGGAAGAGAATGTCATTTTGGACCTCTGGACTATCTGGAGGCTGCCTTCTCTGGGATGTGCATGCTTCCAGGCTTGAAAAAAGGTGCTGTGCAGCTGCAGAAGCATACATGGTAGTGATCTGAGTTGGCTGAGGGCTCGCCTGGGGCAGGGGGCTTGGGGCTGCTGTGCATTCTGACCTGGCCCAGGGTGCAGCTACTCCCTGCTTCCACCAGGCTGGCCTCTCTCTCATCTGCTTTTCTCCCTTGGGCACCTGCCAGCCCAAAGGCCTGGAACCCTCCTGCCTCGAAGCTGTAACGGCCTCACCATCTCAAGGGAACAGGATCCGGAAAGGGAGCAGGCTCTTAAAAGGCCAGCCCTGTTGTCATGATATAGGGGCTTTCTTCTCTTTGAGTGTAATTAGAAAACAAAACAAACACACAAAAAGCCCTAAGAAAGGTAGAGTATGTGAGTCACCTTTATGGAAAAAGCCAGAAGAAAGTTACAAGGGACTCTGTCTTGGACTCTAAGCAGGTACAGGGTCCCTGGCCTGCAGAGCTTTCTCCCTGTCCTTGCTCAGTCAAGATGCCCGGTGCCTGTAAGGAGCAAGCCAACCTGACCTTGCATGGCACTCCTGAGCCTCTCCCACTGGCCGGGGACTGGGCTGCCACTCTGTAACCACGGAGGCCTGGGGCCACATCCCGCTTCAGGCCCATGTCCGGCCACACGGAGGATGGGGCCCCGTGCTCCTACTGCTGCTGTTCTTGTGGATGCACCTACGTGTGCTGGCGGTGTCCTTGCTCTGTGGACCTGGGCTGACTGGCAGTCCTGGCTTGCCAGAGAGCACACTGCACACATACTCCACGGGAGAAGGAACCACAGACCCATCTTGGCAAGGGTCTCGAGGGTGGGTGGGTTCCTTCTCCCCATGGAGATCTAGGGTGGAGAGGAGAGTGCTCTGGGAAGACATTCAGTTATTTGTGTGTTCCTGGGTCCCCACGGAGTTCCAGTCTGGATCAGCTACCCTGGGAAAAGGCTGGGACCCCAACCAGGAAGGGAGAGGTTCAGGAACAGATCAGCACCCAGCTGAGGTGAGGCAGTGGGCTGGCAGGAGTGGGAATCCATGGGGGCCCCAGGTACAGTCCTGTCTGCTGCAGGCCTGTGAGCACAGCCATTGCTGTGGGTGCTGACACGTGACCTGTGTGGATGTCATGGGGGAGTCAGTCCCAAAGGAATTTTGGAGGAGGTTTTGGGAAGTGGGAAAGGCAGTAGCAAGTCTGGCATCAAGAAGCTGGAGGCAGGCCCAGTAGAGGAGGGGAGAGGAGCTGCACCGAGCAAGCTGGTCAGGTGGGAGAAAGTGGGGCAGGAAAGGCAGGTGGGCCAGGCGGCTCTGCCAACAGACCCTTTTAGAAAGGGCTCTAGGGTGCGTGGAAAAGGAGGCAGGCCCAGGAGCCAGGGAGGCAGCAGGGAACTCTGTCAAGGAGGGGCCTAGGGGTCCTAGGGAGGAGGTGTGGAGACAGGCCCAGCCTGCTTGTAAGGCCAGCCTTGATAAGAAGCCCACTGGGGTCCTCAATGACCCTGACCCCTTCAGTCAAGGGGACACAGCAGGTGACAGGGCCCTGAAAGCTAAATTATCCATCCTGCCTTTTGGGAAGAATGTGGCAGATTTCCAATTGAGAATGGGTGGAGCAGGGAGTTGGGCCCTGCTGAGTGCTGGCCCAGCGTGGCCCTGAAGAGAGAGCCTTCCTGGAACCACCCGCCTCCCCAGGCTGTGCTCCAAGTTCCTCTTTCTCAGGAGTTGGAAAGGTGGTCTGAGGCCTGGGGGGAGAGAGGGAGCCAAACCATTGTTCCCAGGTCCACCTCCTCCCCAGATGGCCTGAGGGGAAGTCTCTGTTCCCAGGTTCCTGGACTTGCAGAACCAGAGTGCACAAAAGGGAAGTGGAGTCACCGCAAGGAAATGGGAACCAGAGAAAGGCAGGCCTGGGCCAGCCCCCACTAGAGGCCCTCTGTGGCCAGGAGGGCAGGCTTGGGGGTTCGGGGGCATCTGCCTGGTTCCCAGGTGCAGAGTGTCCAGCAGCGCCCCCGCCCCACCCGTGTTCTCTGAAACACCTCAGCTGTGCTGAGTCAGCAGCTGCTGGACCCAGCTGCTGTGCTTTAACAGCTGCCCTATGACTTGGGTTTAGACAGGACCACCGCTTGGCACTCATGCCAGACCTGCTTACACATGGCAATTCTGGGGGTGCTGTCCTGAGTACTTCCCATCCACCTGTGCCATGTGCCCACAGCCCTGGGCTCGGCTGGCTCCACCCCTGGTGCTCACAGGGACTCGTGTTCTGTTTGCACAGGATGTGGGTGAGCCCTTCTTGGGGCAGGCACTTGGCTGACCTATGCCTGGCCCCCTGCCCCTCAGCCCTGTCCTCCTGCAGACAGAAATGAATGCTCATACCACACACCTATCACTGGCCTCCCCAGAAGAATGCTCGAACAAAAGTGTAAAGCTTGTCGTCGTCAGGCTGACAAAGCGACCAGTTTGTGTCTGGAATCATGATCATCTGAGTACTTGAGATGCATGAGAACTACACACAGAATTGAACTCTGGCTTAAGACATAAAGTTGATAAATTCTGTATTTACTAGCTGTCAGCAAATAGAAACTCATGCCTGTTTCAGTCAAAGACCCAGCACTGATGGTCACCTCCTGCTCTCCACAGATCAACCCAGTTAAGGCACACAGGGACAGCCCCTCTCCAAAGCGCGAGCCAGGGCTACACAAGCACGAGAACTAGGAAGGAAATTCTAAACAGACTGCTCCACGTGATGATTTCCTAAGAATGGAGCCACCCTTAGCCCAGCACGGCCGCTCGCCAGCTGTCCTTCCCGTGGCCCCAGGAGGCAGCCATGGGCAGTAGGGCAGTGGCTTCCTGAGCCCTTGGCTGGGGAGACACAGCCAGCAGCACACAAGCCGGCAGCTCCACCGTGGCCAGTGACCCCAGGAAGATACCCGCCTTCCTTCCTGCCAGCGCTGAGGCTATGCCCAGCCCTCACTGCCCAGGTTCCAGGGTGAGCAGCCACAACAGCTCCTCTCCACAGAGACTCCATGAGGCCCATAGTGCTGTCCTCGGTGGCCACTCCGTTTCCTTGCTCAAGGGAAAAGGGGAACTCGTAAGTGCACATGCTCTGCACCCTGAGTGTTTGCAACAGCCACATGGACCCTGGGCAGTCACTGGGTGCAGGCCTGGGGTGCAGACAGTAAGGAACCAGAGCGACAGGACAGGAGCCTGATCTGACGGTGCTGGCCCTTCCAGGCACAAGCCTGGTTCTGTGAAACTGGCTGTAAACAGAGAGAGGGAGGGGCCACGGTGCCTGCCAAGGGAGGCAGAAACTGAGCGATTTACTGGAGGAAAACAACTGGGGTGCTTCCACACCGGGCACTAACTGCACACACGCACCCGCGCAGGAAGCCAGCGCCGTGCGGCTGCCGCTGATAAGCACACGAGGTGGGGGGTGGGGGTGGTTTGCAGAGAAACACAAGATCCTCTCTGGCGTTTGTGCTTCAGTGTTGCTTACGGACAGAGTCTGCGGTACAGGCACAGAGAAGTGTGGGGCTTGGGATAAAGGTAAGCAGCCTGAGGCTCGGCACTGCTGCAGGCCACTCCAGGGCTATACCAGGGGACAGTAAGGGGACATGGGGCCCCAGGGGACATGCGGCAGGCCGTGGCCAGGGAAAGCGGAGGGGACATGCGGCAGGCAGTGGCAAGGGAAAAAGGAGGGAAGTGACAGAGCCTAAGGAGGAGTGTGATCCTGGGGTCCTGGCCTGGGCACAGAGTGCGTGCCAACCTTTCTTGCGGGCCAGCACCCCACTTGAGCCAACGCCTGTCCTAATGATGGTTGAGGGCCCTTCCTTTTCTGGGGCTGCAGTTCCCCTTTTCTGGGGCAGGTCTTTGTCCTCTTATGAGGAAAGAAAGGGACTTGGATGTGAGAGTAGGTGGGACATCTCAGGCTGACCCTACAGGTCCTTGTGCAGGACGTGAACCTGGCAGGGCCAGACCAGAAGGGTCTGCCTGTGGGCTGGTCACAGCACAGACAGATGCTCTGGGATGGAAGATGTCCACAGTGGCCATAAGAATGTACAGTTTCCTGAGGCCCAAAGCCCATGAAGTCTGGCGGACAAGCTCTCTGCAGCCATGGGCTCCTGCTCACTGCACCCCCGCCCCCAGGTTACTGTCAGAGCCATAGTTCAGCATGGAGGCCACATTTAAACATCCACAGCCAGCTCTGTAGGTATTCAGGAAGGAGAAGGAGAGCGGAAACCGGCCATGTAATCAGCTAAAAGAGGACATAAAAGGGACCCCGTCCCCAGCTCCCTGGGAGACCAAAGCTTCCTGCAGGAACCAGTGCCTTGGCTGTTGACCCACAGGTGTTCCAGGAGCATGCCATCCACCTGGGGCTCCCACCTTTCCCCCCAGAATCCAGCCACTGGGGTGCAGAGCACCCGCCAGGGCTAGAGGCTGAGGAGCACTGTCTAGATTTTAGGACCTAGATTTTAGCCCATGCTATGGATGACAGTAAACACTTCTCCTAAAAGTAATGTAACCAGTACGTGTGGGCAGAGCCCGGCCAGCCCTGCACCGTGCCTGACCCTGGACATCGCTACCGTCTGACACATGATATACATCATCTCAGGCTGCTGGGTGGCATTCATGAAGATTGCAGAACATCCCTGCTGACTCGATGTCCCTGATGTCTGCATGGCCCACCTGCCCATGGTAGTCTGATGCTGGGCTTGAATGCAGATACAGTCCTGTTGAGGGCCCCAACCTCCCTTCATTTTGTTCAGTGCTAACTGTCCTGCAGCCCCTGTGGCCCAGGTGTGGCAGGACAAGGCAGACCAGTGTGTCACACTGCTCTTTCTTGATGTCACCCCCTTGTTCCCACACCAGGCTCCGGCCTGCCACACAGCAGCAGGGCCAGACCTCCGAGCCCTGTCATGGGCAGCAGGGCTGGCAGATCCCTGTCCAAAGCCTGGGAAACAAATGTTTGCTTTGCGTGTGCTTGCCCAAGAGAATTTCTTATTGTAAGAGTGGAAGATCAGGTTGGACCAAACTATGTTTTGAATGTAGGTTTTCCTCCAAAGAATTGACATTTGTGAACGGTGTTTTTTCTTCACATTATGGGTTCTCATGGCCAGCTGTGTACCCAGGCCTCCCATGCACTAGGACACAGGCCAGTTGGTTGCATTCCGCCTGGGCGCTGCCTCTCTGGCTGGTACTAGGGCCAGTGGCCCACCCCTGACTGTCTCTCTTGGCCTGGACACCTTGGCAGGGTGGAGCTCCCCAATGGGAGCATGCCCTCCTCCCCGAGGAACCCCAGGCTACATGAGGGTTCTCACGGATGTGCCCTCACTGGGACTGTGATGGCCCTGTGGAGACGAAGGTATGAGTATCTCAACCTGTGGCACCGACCCCCACTTCCAGCCTCCTACCAGCCAGCTTAGCACCTCGTGCTCTCTCAGCTGAGTTCAGGGCACACCTCAGTCACACATGCCAGTTTGTCTAGCTGCCTATCTGCTCCCATGTGTGTACCCGTGCCTGCTCATGGGGCTGGAGGTGCAGCATAATGGTGCAGCCTGGGTGGCATGAGAGACAGGGTAGGACTGACCACCAGATCACAGACAAGTGTGGAAGGCATGCAAGCAATTTCTTTGCACTTTAAGAAGCGTCTGGGCCAGGTTGAGACCTGCCTGCTCGGCAGAGGCTGCTATCCTTACCCAGGATGCAATGGAGGGTCACCCTGTCATAGGAAGGCCCATGTCAGTACACACATCCCAGCCCCTAGTGCTGTCCAGGTGCCACCCTGGCTGACCTGCCAGCGTCCCCAGGGGCACCTGTCTTTGTAACCCCACTTTCAGGAAGAGGCTGAATAGCAGGGAGTTACGAGGACTTGCTCAAAGCCACGCAGCCCAGGCGGAAGGGTCATGACTGGGCCCTCATGTCCCTGGGGCTCAAGGGCCAGGGACATGACGGGAGTGGGGGAGGTCCTGCAGTGTCCCTTCCCAGTGGAGAGAAGCCGGGGCCCTGCAGGAGGCATGAAGCATGCCAGGACAACTCCCCCAGTACTAGCTTGGGAAAATCATCCATGGCTCAGACTCTCAGAAACAGGCTTAGGGAGACTTGCCACGGCCGTTAAGATGACTGCAGCATCGTGACCTTGTTGGACTGAAGACAGCCATACGACAGCACCTTTGCACTCACAGAAAACACTCAGGACAGAGTATTTTTGAAAAGGCCCATAGTCTCTGACTGTTCCTGTGAGAGTTCAAGGGGCAAGGCTTTCTTCCTGCACCACCTCTGCATTTTGGAGGGTTTGCAAGCCCGGGGCTCTGGCTCAAGAACACCCCCTAACTTTCTGCTGCTCTCTCCCACACAGCCCAGCCCGCTGCCGCCATGTGGAGCTGCGGCCCGCTCAATGGCACAGGTAGCCTGGAGGACCAGCTCCTCTGCCAGCACTTCCACTTGGTCCTGTCCGTCTTCTCTCTGCTCTACCTAGTCGTTGGCGTCCCCATCGGCCTGGGCTACAATGCGCTGCTTGTCCTGGTCAACCTGTACGACCAGAACAGCATGACCATGCCCGATGTCTACTTTGTGAACATGGCTGTGGCGGGCCTGGTGCTCAGCGCCCTGGCACCCGTGCACCTGCTGGGCCCCACTGCCTCTGGGTGGGCCCTGTGGGGCTTCAGCAGTGAGGCACACATCACACTGCTGGTGCTGTTCAACGTCTCCTCCCTGGTGACCATGTACTCCACAGCCCTGCTCAGCCTCGACTACTACATCGAGCGCGCTCTGCCGCGCACCTACATGTCCAGCGTCTACAACACCAGGCACGTGTGCGGCTTTGTCTGGGGCGGGGCCCTGCTCACCAGCTTCTCCTCCCTGCTATTCTACATCTGCAGCCACGTGGCGGCCAGGGTTGTTGAGTGTTCCAAAATGCAGGACACAGAGGCTGCTGATGCCATCATGGTGTTCATCGGGTACTTGGTCCCCACCCTGGCCGTGCTCTATGCACTAGCACTCATCTCGAGGATCCGGAAGGAGGACACACCCCTTGACCAGGATGCGGGGAGGCTGGACCCCTCGGTGCACAGGCTTCTGGTGGCCACTGTGTGCACACAGTTTGGGCTGTGGACGCCTCACTACCTGACCCTCCTGGCACACACATTGCTTGCCTTGCAGGGGAAGCCCATGGATGGGCGCTACCTGGGGATTCTGCTCTTTGCTAAGGATGTGTCGAGATTCTTGGCATTCTCTAGTAGCTCTGTGATGCCGCTTCTTTACCGCTACATCAACAGAAACTTCCCCGGCAAACTCCGGCGGCTGATAAAGAAAATGCACTGTGGGCACCAGAGCTGCTCCCCAGACCAAGTGGGGGTCCAGCAGGTGATGGCATAGAGAGCTGACTCCTCTGATTGTGGCCACTCTGAGCACCAGTCTTGGGGCCACTGTCAATGTCCACTGCGGAGCCACCTGACAGATGGCCAACAGTGCATGCCCTGGAGGCACAGCACTTTCTCACTGTCTTCCCCAGGAGGTCACTGAGGCAAGAACAAAGGACAGCACAAGGCATGTTCTCGCCAAGTTTTCTGCTGTTCCAGACAGGCCATGCTTCCACCAAGGCCACATTGTTCAGAGCAGCAGGGGCCTAGGGTGAAGAATGGCTGAGTTGGCCCACCTGCTTCTGCCAGTGGCGTGTGCCTGGTCCTTTAGGTCCACACTGTCAGCCTCCTCCACACTGGGTTCCCTGAATGAAGTGATGACAATCAAAAGCCAGTATTTACATGGTCTTGTTAAAATCCTTGATTTCCTCTCTTACTTTATTTTTGTTTATGAAAAGAGAGATCTGATAGAAAAGTCACAACAGCATGGAAAATGAAGGAAACAACACAGAAGAGCACCTGTGTTGGACAGATGGGGTTGGGCTTCATGACTGCACGGTCACCCTGAGGAGGCGTGAGAGGAGAGGTGCACGGTGTCACACACAGAGATGGCATGAAAATATTTCTGCAGGAAAAAGCCAGCAGCGTGGCTGGTCTTAAGCGAGAATAAAGTAGCCCGGGGCTCACATCTTGCCGGACCAACACACCTCGTACCCCTGCTCTCCTCACGGGTGACATTAGCTGACCTCTTTCCATGTAGGTCAACTCCCCCCAAATGGGTACCAAACTGAACAATAAAGGTAAACTGAAGAAAGGAAAGGGTGGTTTCCACAGAATCTCAAAGGGGCTGCCGGGGGGAGACGGGCCTGGAAGACCGAGCCTTGTCTGGCATCCAGGGTGGAAAATAGGGCCACCCTGGCCACCTCACACCTGTCTGATCCTCCGTGGCTGCTACTGGAGGAGAGCCCAAGACCTGCCTGCTTAGCCAGAATCCTGGATCTTCCACACTGTGGCCTGTACACATGTGCTTTAAGACTGTGGCAATGGAAGCCCCCTGCCTCCCACACCATCTGTTCACCTGCACCCCAGCTTCACAATACATCCTACCCTTGCAGCCCCTAACTTCAACTATGAAACCCACAAAACTCTAAAAACAGGGAGATTTGTTTCTCAAGTCTGCAGCAAATTAATTTGTAGCAGACCCTAACCTGAAGTGGCACGAGGGCACTTTTCTGAGGAAAGATGAATGTGATCCTGGGGCCCAGCCCCAGTCCCAGTGTCCTACAGTATGCGGTCCATGCTGCTTGTTAACTGTCTGTGCGTGTGTGCATGTGTGCACCTGCACATACAGAACCCAGGTCAACAGAAGTTGTTTGCTAAAAGGAAAACCATAAACACGCACATTCCTTAAAATATGGTTTATATTTCAACCTAAGTTTTCCTGCAGTGTGATGGTTACAGACAACAGCTTGGGCTGGAATTGGTAATTTGGTGACTCCCTCCTGCTTTTAGGGTTGTGCACCCAGGAAAAAAAAATTTTTTTTGGTCATTGCTCAGTAATGCGCCGTATTTATTTATTTATTTTAACCTTTTGACTCTCTTCACCCATTTCCCCCACCAGCCACACCCCTGCCCCTGACAACCACCAATCTGTTGATTCTATGACTTTGGTTGTTTTTTGAAAGATCCCCCATATACGTGAGATCGTGAGGTGTTTGTCTTTCTCTGACTTACTCCACTTAGCCCAGGGCCCTCCAAGTCCATCCATGTTGTTGCAAATGGCCAGATTTCATTCCTTCTTGTGGCTGATATTCCATGGTGTGTGTCATGTGTATGTGTACACAACCCCTGCCTCTTCTGTGTCTGCTCCTGTGTCTTGGCCATGGTGAATGATACCCCAGGAACACAGGTTGCAAACATCTTTTCAGTTAGTGGTTTGGGATCCTCTGAGTAAATATTCACAAGGGCGATGACTGGATCATAGGGTAGCTGTTTTTTTTAACTTCTGAGGAACCTTCTTGTTTGAGGGGCTGCACCAGTTTGCATTCCCACCAGTGGTGTCTGAAGGTTCCCCCTTCTCCATGTCCTCACCAGCTCTTGTCTTCTTGTTGATGGCCTTCTTAACAGATGTGAGGAGATCTCCCTACGGAGGGATGCAGGGTGCATTCATTTCATGTACATGTTGGCCATCTGTATGTGTTCTTTGGAGAAATGTCTATTCTGACTCTGTGCCCATTTTGCAATCAGACTTTATTTTGCTACTGAGTTTCTTTATGTATTTTGGATATTTGGTCCCTATCAGAGATATTAACATACTAACCTGTGACAACCTGAAAACTGAGTTCTGACCTGTCTGGTCCAAGGATAACAGAGTGTGGCTCTATTTTTTGCCACGTTCCGTTCAGGGAAATCTCTCCATTTGGTCCTGGTCTCTTGGGAAATTCAGCCTATGACTTAGTTGCCATTGTTTTTTTTTTATCTGCAAAATATATCCCCTCTAGGATGATGTGAGTTAAGAGTCTGCCTGGGCAGAATCATGAAAGTACACTGGATGCCAGAGCCCTGCTGTGACTTGAGCCTGGTAGCTGTGAAACTCTAGACAGGTTCTGTGGGGCCCATCTACTTCCTAGCCAGTAGATCCAGGGCAGAATGAGAGAAGTTTCCATGTTGCTTCTGTCAGGAATGTGCTATTTCTACTGAAGGACACAGTCCCCTCCGCTGCTCCAGGTCTTCTGATGGGCTGGGGTTTCTTTTCAAATCCTGAAAGCCTCAGGCCTGACCCCTCCCCACTCCTTCCACCCCCACCCTCTTCAAGTTGTGGGCTGCACAATGGGTAGTCCCCAGGTCATGGCTCCCCTGGGAAACCCTGGCATTGGCTGAGTGACTAGTGCAACTGCACAGTCCCCTAGCATTGCTGCCATAGAACTTCTCACCTCAAACATGCCTGTTCCTGCTTGGCTTCTAGTTCTGTCATGGTGGGTGGGCAGCTCCAGAGCCAGGGTCAGGCCAAGGTCCAGTATGCACAGCCAGGCTCTTGGGTCAGGAAGCCAGCACCGTTATTACCAGAAATGGGATCCAGCTTGTGAGCTGGTCTGTAGTGGCAGTGCTACTTCAAATAAAAAGTCCCTTTTCCTTGCTTCTCTCCTCTGTTCTTTACTTAAGGATAAAGAGGTCCTAGGAGAGAGGGAAATCCCAAGAGCACAGAGCTGAGGGACACACGGGTCTCTGCCACAGCCCTTGAGTCCCTCACCCCAGCCGGGGTCCCCCAAACAGGAGAGGGATCTAAAATCATGGGTTTGTAATTTCTCAGTGGCTTTGGTTGCAAACTGGCTTCTTTCTGGCAACTTCCTGGGGACCGGAGAGAGTCCTGCCAGGGGTCCCTCCCCATTCCCAATGCCCACAGTTGCTGGTGACAGAGGGCCCCCAAGGATTTGTGGCAGCCTGGCAGCTCTTCCTGGTGAAGCACCGGCCCATGGCAGGCTGGGGTTCCTGTGTAGACCCTTAACCTCTAATGGAGACCCTCTCCACTCTCACAAATGTGTCTTTACCTCCATACTCTTCTCCCTGCTGGCGACACCTCTGCCACCAACCCCACATGCTGCAGAGCCTACTCCCCATTTGATGTTTGTTTATCCACATTCTTGTGCTAAATTATTCTCAGATGAATCTGGTGTGACCCGACATTTCTCTTCCAGGTATGGGTGCTTCCAGTGCTTCTGCCAAGTTGCCAAAAAAAAAAAACAAAAAACTGAAAGAATTTTGAACTGAGAGAAAAATGGAAAAAGCTAAAGTAGACTGTAAATGCACACACACACATATATATGCGTGCGTGTGTGTTGTGTATACGTATATATATATACACAACACACACACCCTTTAATTGATCAATCTTTATTTCTCCCAGTGAAAGTTTACGTTCCAAGCTAATTCTGTTATCAAAACTTCTAGATGATTACATTTTTAAAATTAATCTCATTTTTATTAATCCACAAACTCATCTATCTTGCCATGCTTAAGATTACAAAAAGCGAGTTCAACCTTAGGTTTACTTGATGAAGGTTAGAAAATTTATCATAGGAAACCAGACATACTGTTACGTGTGGCAGACATGTCAGTAGGTCAAACATTCCTTTATGGAATGCACTTGCTAAAGGATAAGCCTGAAATAAATTATTAAGAAGCTAAATTATAAGTCCAATTCTTGAATTTAAAATCAGTTGGAAAATTTGGGGACTTTTTCATTTCTCATCTGTTAAATCTGCTCCAGTGGTTGCACCCGTTGGCCTAAAGTTCTATGTAAATGATGAAGAAAAACCTGCTAGAGAAAAAACCCACACATTTGAAAATTTAAATTATTTGATATATCTTATTCAATTTTGGAATTCTTAAAATGTGTATTTCCAGGGGTATATGATGTAGATCAGAAAATGGCACAGAACTTACCATAAAACTGGTTATTTCCTGACGTTACAATTACATTAATACAACCAGTAGTCATTCAGCTGCATACAAGTCCCTAGGCTGTGGCTGCCAAGTGGCAGAGGAGCCATACTCAGAGGCCACTGCACACGTCAGTCATGAAGGCTAGCAGAGACAGCCTTACAACTCTTACAAATGTTATTCTTCCTTGAGAATAATAATTTAAAAATTGCTGACTGCATCCTGAGGGCTGAGTATAGAATTGAGTGTCCTGGTGGCTCCAGAAGCCCCATATAGGAGGGGCTGTCCCCCGACCCCTCTGCAAGAGGTCAATGAGCTGTGTACACAGTGAGTGCTCAATACACTTGAGAAGTGAATGAGTCCTCTACGAATGAAGGAATTTGAACATACAACATACCTATTTTATATTAATAAAAAATATGCAGTTTAGACTTTATGATTTGTCTTATTCTGTTGAGCGTGTGTATGAGACAGGAGTTCTGAGTACAAAGCATTTGTTGAGTGCCTATTGTGTTCTCAACCTTTCTCCTGATATTTAAAACCACTTCGTAAGTTCTTTTGGCCCATCTGCCATTAACATTAACGTCATGTGAACCTGTAACGTGAGATGCTAATGTACAATATGCTGTGAAGTTGGAGTGCAGTACTTTTTGAAGTCCTAGCAGGACACTACATGACTCAGAAATACTTTCCAGCCTCTCGAGCAGGCGTGTTTGCAGAGCTCCACCCAGTGGCCATCGGCAGACCTTCACTCTGCAGGACAGCCAAGTATCGGCCACAGAGCTCCAGGACACTGGGAACTGTGTTCATGCCACGTGAGGGTGCTTCTCACAGGTCTAACAGCTGACATGATTTGGGTTGGCTGGGTCACATTCTGTGATGTAACTCAGTGATCTTCTATGGTAGCTTTAACTCCCCAACCAGCTGCTGAAGAGCAGACACCCTGACACACATTCCCCAACAATCAGAGCAGGAACAGGAATGTCCTTCAGAAACTATTCCCTGCAGATACTGACTGGGTCAGAATCCACGAGGCTCTCAGAATTCACAACAAATTGTGCTTTTACAAAAAACATACCCTCAGCAGCAGTGGAAAAGGGTGCTCAGTCCACCAGGTGCTGCTCTGCGGGCATATACACACATATATACATGCATATACACACTGGTCATGCAAAGCCCATGCAGTCCCAGGTGGCAGCACTGGAGTCAGCAGAGCCTGGCTGACCTACAGGGACAGTAGCCAAGTGTGGGCCTGTGATGCTGGATTTCTGTGTTGTTAAGGCTTGGCACACTATTTACAGGGCAACTATATGCTGGACTTTCTAATCTCCCAAGTGAAGCCAAACATAAATGCAATGTTCTATATACCAGGGAGCAGGAGAAGTGCTATGGCTAGAAAGTAAATAAATAGTTTTAAAGATTGTACATGCTTTAAAAAAAAAAAAGCTATCTAAAAGGGCACTGGTGAATGATGGAGTGTGGAAGGGGAAAGCACTCTGGCCTGTGGCCTCTGGGCCAGCCCATGAACCAGGTGGGAAGCCTCACAGGTCCAGCCTCTGCTCCAAGGGGGCTGCCCATCACGTGCATCCACAGGTTGTTTCAAAGACCCAAGGAGGGCTGCTAGGAAGGGATACGGCTCCATGGGGACTCCTCTGAGGTGGGCCTGGGCCATCCTGCACCAGGAAGTAAGGATGAGCTGGAAGACTAATGGGGCTGTGTCACCTGGCTTGTAGACATTCCCCATGGCCACGTCTGGGACAGTTTGAGCAAACAAAAAGTGAAGAAATAGAAGGGGAAAAAAAGTCCAAAGTTACACTCAAAAAAGGCAGGGAGCCTCAAAAAGGAGGGAGGAAGGAAGAAAGAAAGCAAAAAGCTCAGAGCAATCATGGGCTTAAGAAGGACTAGCATAAGGCAGGGGATGGGGGGTTTGGGCAGAAGGGGTCAGGAGTGTCCATGCACTCTAAGCAGCACTGCCAACTCCTCAGTGAGATAAAGACCAGGATGCTCTAATCTGGTGCCCTGCTTGGCACCATTCCATGCAGGTGTATCCTTGGCTCACCTTAGAAGGGCTACCATGTCTGCCTGTGTGTACACAGCTAATGCCTGAAAGGCAAGGCCTAGCCTGTGGGCAGGCAAAGGACAAGCCAGCCAGTACCTTAGTGGGGCCAGGATGCTGCATGTGGGGAGGCACAAGCCCAAGACAGAGGAATGAGTAGCTAGGGATGCCTGGGTGCCTCAGTGGTTGGGTCTGCCTTTGGCTCAGGTCGTGATCCTGGGGTCCTGGGATCAAGTCCCGCATCGGGCTCCCTGCAGGGAGCCTGCTTCTCCATCTGCCTGTGTCTCTGCCTCTCCTTCTGTGTGTCTCCCATGGATAAATAAAATCTTAAAAAAAAAAAAAGTGAGTAGCTAGAAGCAGAACTCAAAGGACAGGTGGGACGGGGTGTGTGTGGGATGTCCAGAAGTGAGTCAGGGAGGGGACTTGCACGGCTGGGCTGAAATGCCCTGGCAACAGGTCCAGTCAAGGAAGAACACCAAACAAGAAGCCCATGAATCCCTGGTGCAACCGGACACCCTAAGCTTGGACCCCACTGCTTTCCTTTCCAATTCCTGAACTGTATCCTGACCTCCATCGCTGTTCCCTGTGCCTCTGTCCCTAGAGTCTAGGTTAAGTGCTTCCAAATCCCTTATTTCCACAGGTGTCCTTGTACTGCAGCTTCCATGACTGAAGCATCCAAACGACTTCTCTCACAGACTGAGAGCCTGCCACTGTGAGTCCCTTCACGCTCCTGCATTTCCAAGATCAAGGAAATGCTTGTGCAATAGACTCACGATTTCACACGGTATGAACAATGCTCTGGAAAAGAGCCTGTTCCCACAGGGCCAGCAGCCCTCCTGCACCGCTTGCCCACCCCTCACCTCTCAGGAAGAGGAACCCACACTCCTCGCAGTCTCTGGAGGACACTTTTCACCTCTGCACACTGGTGCCTCATTTGCAAGGAGACAGCCAGCCAGACAGGGCTGAATGGACCAAACACTGGGGCCTGAAGGGCGTGGCCATGCTCGCCATGTGGTTGTTGGGCAGCACTGAGACAGGCTGGCAGGCTGCAGGGTTGGAAGTCAGGTTGAAGCCAAAAAAAACCCAAACATGGTTTTTTTCAGGAAAACATTTGTCCAAACATCCCAAATCCCCCCAGTGTCTGAAAAGGCCCTATTACTTGGCACTATGGGTCTACTCCAAGATTCTCAGGTGACCAGCAAGGCCAGATGAGCATGGAGATAAATCATGAAAGAGCCAGTAGGATGGCCTCTCGGGGCACTGGCTCAGCTCCCTGTCCTGGCAGCACCTGTGGGGGTGCCCCCATTTTGGCATGCCCACCAGAGGCCCCCATAATCCCATACAACTTCAGAGAAACAGCCAGACCAAGATTACTAAGTCCACACTAAGCCTGCTCTTTCTTCCTCTTGCTGACTGCATGACAGCAGGACAAGGGAAGCAAAACAAGCAGTTTGGCTGCAAGTAGAGGCAGAAGCCCAGGCAACAAGGACCGGCTGTAGATGGGCAGGTGGGACCCCTCCGAGGGACGGAGATGTCCCTCGAGTGGGCTGTGATGAGGGCTGCACATGTTGGGCATCTACTAAATACCAGTGAACTATATTTTTCCAAACAGCAGAGCTATATGGTTTATATCTCAAAGCCATTTTTAAACATGTAAAGGTGTCTCAGTGACGAATCAAGACACGCAGGGGTCATTAGTCCTGGTATTTTAGGACATTACATAAAAGGTAACTCCCCCCAGTGCCTAGCAGCCACTTGTCTTTCTATATGGATTGGCTCCTCCCAGACATGTCCTCTAGTGGAGTCACAGAACATGTGGTCCTTGGTGGCAGGCTTCTCCTGCTGAGCAGCCTGTTCGTAAGGTCCATCCAGCTTGTGGAAGATGTGCCAACACCACTGCTCTCTAGAGCTGAGTAATGTTCCATGTGTGGGTATATGTTTTGCTTATCCACTCCTCCACTGTTGGACACCTGGCTTCTCCACTTGCGGCCACAGTGAGAAGAGCTGCTGTGAACATGAGTGTGTTCAGATCCTGGTGTAAGAAGGCTGTCTGGAGAGGCCACAGTACAGCACGTGTCCGCAACCTGGGCTGGGCTGTGGGCAAAGCCAAGGGCAGATGTTCTTACGTCAGAGACCAGAAAACCTGACTGTCCTGTGCTCACACATAAGGACAAGATCAACAGTACATTGTGGGACAAGGGTGGGTAGGAGTCACTGCTCCCTGAACGGGCTGCCCATCACCTCTCTACACGGGGCCAGACACATATGAAGGAGTGGTGGGGACAGGGAGACCACTGCCAGTTCCCACTCGAGTTGAACAACCCAGCCAGCTGACAGGCAGGCCCCATGCTCTGGGAGAGGAAGGCAGGGCAGGGTGAGGGGTCAAGCGTACCTCCTCTTTCACTCATGTCCAGTATCTGTGTGTACTTCATGTGTGCAGAGCTCTGACACACTTCTACCTCTTCACTGTCATCTGCACTCAGCACTGAGAGAGGCCAAGAGTGAGGTGGCACAGCACTCTGTCCTAGAAGCCATGTCCTCCTGCGCCCCAACCCTGATTCAAAGCATACAGCCTCGGGGCGCAGACAATCCAGCAGGGAGTAAATCAGATCCATGGAAACACAAAGACAGGATGTGACAGAAAGCAGGACGAGGCCTTGAGCCACCTCGCTAAGAAGGCACCAGAGTGTCCCAATGGTAGGTAGATGGTGGGCAGGAGAGGGACCGAGGCCAGGCTGGTCCCACGGCTGCGCTGCAGAGGCCAACCCACCTCAGACACATGCGAGATCCTTCCCATGTGAGGGTCACACCATCTGGCAGAAACCTGCATTTACTGACCATCCCTGGCTTCACACATTTAGGTGTGCCAACTCATCTAACCCTCCAATAACGACATGGAGCACTGCTAGAATTACAGCCATCTTGCTGGAGGGAATGGAGTCCTAGGGGCTAGCCAGCCTGCCCACCCCCAATCTCAACGCCTCAGAGAATTTCTGGACCAGAAATTCAGGATACGAGTACTGGTGGTCCTCTTAGCAGCTATGCTTGTCCTGTGTTTCATCCATCTGCCCTTGGATAACTTGGTGGAAGCCCTTCACCTGACACACACTGGCAGGTGAAGAAGGGCTGGGCCCAGTGGGGAAGGTGCCCACGAGAACAGGAGGCAGAGGCGTAAGACACTCCTATGTCGTGGTGGTTCTTGTGGGCCCCGTCAGCTAGGGGCTGACTGCTGGCGGTGCAAGCTCATGGCCTGGAGGCTGACACTGCCTGTCTGCCAGCAGCAGCTACAGTGCAGATGGAACACATTTCTGGACATTGCAGAAAGGAGCCAAACCATACACCAGGCCTCCCTGTAGAGCAGCTAGGAAAGACAGTGTGGTTTTCTCAGCTTAACAGAAGACCAGGAGGTCAGGGGGGAGAGATGGCAGCTGGGCCAGCCGGCCTGTTGCTCTTCCAGTAGCTTAGAAATTTCCCCACAAGGTTGGGAGAGTCCATAGGGAAGGCTTATTTCCCTAAATCAGGGCTCTCCAAACCCCCAAGGCCCGAGGTCATGGGAGCAGGAAGCAGGATGCCCCAAAACATAAGACAGAGGTAGTTATTGCTCCTTGGGAATTCACTCTAAGGGGACCCCAAATTCCACTTACAGGAGCAACATCCCATGACACCAGCAGAACCCGCACATGAGCACTATGCACATGAGAGCAGATGGCAGGACATCCATTATACCTCCTGTCCCCAGAAGGGGCCTGTCCCTGGGGCAGTGCCCTGGCCCCACATAACCCCGACAGGCTTCTGACAAGCCCAAAGAGGCCCACCGACCAGCATCATCATCTGAAGGCATCCTTCCAACAACCATGCACAGCTCTGTAAACCCATTCACAGTAGGAAGGATGGAAGGCTTGTGCTTAACAGCCTCAAGTGGCACAGTGAGGCCTAAAGTTGCATATTCAGAATCAGAACCCAGAAAGCTTCCCGGGGTTGTGCAAAGGGGCTTGGAACCTCTGAGCACCCACACCAGTAAGCCAGACACTGCAGTAGCTCAGGGCACCTCTGCTTGTGTGCTGGGGGCTGGAGGGATTTCTTCCTCCACTGGCCTGACTCAAGGCTAGGTCCTTCCCAAGGGGCACGAATGGGCAGAGCTGATGGCCATGGGTGGGGGGGGGGGTGTCTAACGGCAATGCACCTGGTCACCCTGGTATCTGAGAGGTGAATGCCCCAGTGATGCTCACACTG